GGGGGGGGGGGGGGGGGAGGAGGAGGAGGAGGAAGGCGCACTTTGGACTTTACTGAGTGTTAATCACGGCTAAACTCAGTGCACACACCACTAACGTTAGTAGGCGATTGTGCTGTTCTCCATACTATTGTTGCCTAAAGGCAACCTAACGGCATACTCACACTTCGACCCACGATTACCGAATGGCGATGTCATTCATCACGATCGAGATGCGGATACACAGTCGGTGGTATGCCGCAGATACTACGCGTCAGCGCTTCCACCAGTAGTTCCCCATTCCCACTGTTTCTCCGTCATGCGCACGAACCCCCTCCCCTCCCATTCTCACTTCCCCCCTTTCCCTCCTCCTCCCCCCCCCGCCCGGGCACCCTTCACCTCCCTTACTATTTGCGCATCTTATCCGTGCGCACAAGACCGAATCTACAGCCTATGCCCATTCCCATTTAGTTGCCCGGGGCCAAGTCCCATTAGCAGGAGTTTGGTTACGATTCCTATAACGTAGGAGAACATGTGGAAGACGTAGGAGAACATGTGGAAGACGTAGGAGAAGGAGGGGGAGAGAGAGATATGGCGGAGGAGAACATGTGGAAGACGAGAAGGAGGAGGAGAGATATATGGCGGAGAAGGAGGAAGAGGAGGAAGACGAAGGAGAAGCAAAGGAAGAGGACGAAGGAGAACAGGTGGAGGAGGAGAAGGAAGAGGGGGAGAGAGATATGGTGGAGGAGGAGAAGGAGGAGGAGGAGGAAGAGGAGGAGGAGGAGGAGGAACAAGAGGAGGGTCGGGTTTGGGGGAGTATCGGGAGAGAGTTGACAGGAGGAGGCGGAAGAAGAAGAGGAGGAGGTGGAGGAGGGGGAGGATGAGTAGGATGAAGACGAGGAAGAAGAGGAGGAGGATTATGAGAAGGAACCTCGGACTAGCGAGCTGCCGCAAAACAAAAGGGCGCGACGTCGGGCCTTTTCATAGGAGGAGGAGGGGGAGGAAGAAAAGGATGCGGAGGACGAGGACGAGTAATGGGAGGGAGGTAAGGGCACGTCTCTCTCTCTCTCTCTCTCTCTCTCTCTCTCTCTCTCTCTCTCTCTCTCTCTCTCTCTCTCACACACACACACACACACACACACACACTTACCGTCGGGCGGTGACGTGGCGGTCGCTCCTCCACGAGGCGGCGGCGACAGCATAGCAGCTCCCGGCGAGGCCACCAACGGCGACGACAGCACGGGCGATGGCGGCTCCAGGCGACGGCACTGACGGGCGATGCGATTCGAATTTGAATCGAGGTTCGGCCTCCCACACCCCCCCCGCCCAGGCAAAACCCCGCCCGACCTTTCCTCAAACGAAAACAGACCTTGGGGGGCCTCAAACCGGTCGGCAAGGCCCCAAAAAACTGTGAAAACGGGGGGGAAAAAATTTGTACGGGGGCTTGTCTGGACTTGTACGTACGTACAGGTCCGCGTACAGGTCCGCGTACAGGTCCGCGTACGAAAAAAACTCGTACGGCCTGTACGGAAAGGCGCCGTACAGGTACGCTGTGCAACGCAGCACTTACGTTTTTTTTTTGTGATTCTCATGATAGGTGCCCAAGCCAAGACTTGCCATTCCTCAGAACATGGCATCAACTTCTTGCCTTAAGCCAAACTTCATGTTTACCATTCTTGTCAATGGTAATTTAAGTCTTCCTGTGGTCTTTTCCAGCATCCTGCAACACTTGTTGCGAATTTTCTCCTGTGCAATAACAAACAAGAAATCATGTTAGATATAAATTAAAAAAGCAAGAAACATCAGACGAGCGAGAATCCGCAGCATGTAGTGGCTCCTATCCCACGCCTCTCTTCCCGTCAATCAATGCTTCCACAAAAGGAGGAAACACATATGATACCAAACGGTCAAAAAATCCAAACCGAAGGAATGAGTGTGGAAACATCAGAAGAAAGGAATAAGTGTCGAGACAACATATGATACCTTGAGTTTGACTCGAAGGAATGGGTGTGGACACAACAGAAGTTGGGTATAACAAGGACGGCATTCGAATATAACATCAAATTTTGTTATGACTTGGGGTTACAGACCACAGACCCAGATCCTAGATTAAACAGCAAGTCGATAGAAACAACACAAATCAATAACACTGCAGAGAAAATGCATTATCAAATTGATGATCAGAGAGTACCTGTCAGCGGGACATGTGTGAGTCACACACACACACCCGCGCGTGCACACACACACACACACACACACACACACACACACACACACACATATTTATCTATAACAACTCAGACAGAAAAACAGAGGAGACAATCTGAGATCAAAAGGTTTACATACATTGTTGAAGATTTTTGCATCATCAGTTCGATTTGCAAAATCTTCATGTTCGTGATCACTCTCGTTGTCACTATGATCAAATCCATACTCGTCGAAATTCTCGAACACCTTGATTAACACATTGTCATTGATGAATGTCAGTCGCTGCCTGCATGAAATTTCAAGGAATTTGATGGCGGAATCGACGTGCTCTGGTGCAACAGGGAAATCGGCATCATCTTCCAACGGCGCAAGACCGTCTGCCATTGATTCCAGACAGTACGTGATCACATGGAGTATCGATGATACAATGATTATTTCCCCCTTATTCTTCCCATAGAAACCTGTGACAGCATATTCATAACAACAATGACGAAAACCAAATAAAATTGGTAAATTTCTATATTACTTGGCTAACAGCCACAGCACCCAGGCCGACCTTGTTTGGTCACTCAGAAGGTGTCAAAAGAATTATAATTATAAATTTTTAAAAAATTATATAATAATCCCACAAAAAGCCATGGATTACTTTCCAACCCCAATGCCACAAAGAGGACCTGAAATTTGACCCCAAGGAGTGGTGCTGGTAACATAAATCCGTTGGGAAAACTATAACAATCTCTGAATATGACGTAAAGTTCGGCTATGAGCTAGGCCTAAAGATCACTGACCCCGACCCGAAGCTGCAAGAGAAATTGAAAAGGATCTTGCAGATTGACCCTGAGACCGCACTAGCAATCCATTGGGTCAAGTACCTCCTCATCCGTCCAGCACGCATTCGAAGCCTGCAGTGACTGATCGCACACTTGGCCCTCCCTATCAACCAATGGCTTCACACAAGAAGAAAGCACTCTGACCCGCTCAGCTCGGAGGACTGTGCCCTATGTACCACTAAGCCCCCGGAGGACATCCCACATTGCCTCCTCCTATGCCCAGAAGCTCAATGGTTCTAGGACAAGACAAGGTCGGTTTGGACCACTCTGTTCTCGACTCCCCCCCCTAGCATTCCTGTCGCTGCTATCCTACTCAGTACTAACATTGCATCCCCTATCAAAGGTAGCAAGAGAGTCTAGTTTCTACTGCTCAGGAAGTTGACACTCTGCATAATATGGAAGCGCAGGTGCACTCGAACAATCGAGGGAACGGAGGTGGCCAAAGAGGAGATGTGGACACTACTCCTGAGGGTCAGTTCCTCTGAGAAACGAAGAGCAGGGAGACAAGCAATTGAAAGACAGACCTTCTTAAGAGAGTGGTTGTTGAAGGGGAAGGTGGCCTCCGTGGTGGACGACAGACAAAGATGGAAGGACTGACACCAACAGCGCCACTAGAACGCACAACGCAGGGGGAACACAAAGGTACACACCCAAGGCAGGGTCGGATCAGAGAATTGAGAGTCCATCCGGAAAAGAGAATCTGCGGGCTGAGAAGTGTATCAGCTACCATAAGAAGTCTCCCTCAGCAAGAAAGCCCACTCAGATCACTTCGACAAGGGGTCGACTGAGATTATAATCTCAGTAGGCTAGGCACCTATCCTCTTTTCTTGTAGTACACGAAATATATGACAGAGGGTATCAGGGCTCTGAGACGAAAAGAGACAGGGTAAGATGATATCAATCCTCTAACAATGGAGCAATCAATGCTGGTCAGGGGTCCTTTCGAGAGAAGGTTAACCAACCCCCCAATTTTCACCCCCATTTATAAGAAAAGCAAACGGTCATTTCAACCATATTTTCGACCAATCTGTAGAGTGCACTTCTTACTAACTTATTGTTAAAAAAAAAACGAAAAAAGTTAACCGAAAAAAAAAACGAAATAAACTGCATATTATCTAAAAAACTTAAAAAAAAAATTAACTGCAGTTACTGATCAACTTTTGTGTTGGGGTCATATTCATTCTTTTTAACAAATGTAAATTAATTTTTAAATATTAAATTAATA